ATGTTTTTAAGTATAATAAATAAATAAAATAAAAATAAAATAATATAAAAATAAATAAAATGTTTTTAAGTATAATAAATAAATAAAATATATATGAGAAAGTTAAAGTAGTTAAAAATAAGAAATTGTTATTTGATATATCCGTCATTTAAAGGTATACGTAATTACTACACATATTCTCATTCCGGTTGAATTTTTTTTTGTTCTTTATTTTTAATACACGATTTTCGAGGACGAAACGTCGTCGTCGTTGTCGTCGTTTGCGGCTAACGACAGAAGTTCGGGGAGATTTTAACGCTCGTTCGTACGTTTCTTTTTTTTTCCAGAAAAAAAACAATCTTTATAGTTCGTTATACCAAGAGAGAAAGAGAGAGACTCCTCTCTCACGATCACAACGCACGTTGGCCTAATTTCTACGTCCCGAATATGGTCATGACTTCGTATACAACACGTTCCTCCCCCCCCCTCCTTTATTCCCCCTCAACCACCTCCCATCTCCGTTACACCGCCGTTTTTCCATCGTTCGCAGGAGTTTGTCGTTCTTTAAGAATCTCGCGTACATTCCTACATTTGTAACACGCCCGTGTATTTCTTTCTCTGAACATTCACGTATACGTGACGTGACGTGCGTGTTTTCATGTGTGTATGTATAAATATATGTATGTATGCATGTAGGTACACGTAAACGTGACTTTAGGCAGGCGCATGTAATTTAACTCTTGACTGCAACAGTCACTTTCACTCAACTCGTATTGAATCCCTTTTCATTGTCATTGTTAGATCAAATTGTTCCTGGATTATTGCATTTGGGTTACCTTCGAAACTATTCGATCATTTGAGATTGAATTGAATTGTTTTATAATGTTTCTTTCTTTTTTTTTGATGATTAATATTAACGTAGTGATAATCGTGATAACGTAAATATTGTCATTCGTAGAATAAACGTATAATTAATTTTATGGTTTATATATTATGATATAATTAATTATTATTAAAAAGAATTTGATTTAGTATAAAGTTAATTTTTTAAAAGGATACTTTGATATCGTGAATTAATAAAAATATATCATTGATTTAGTAGAATGTTAATAGAGAAATGATACTAAATATGTTATGATGATTATGACAGTGTGTGTCGAAAAAAAAAATAATTATTTACATTGTAATGTGTGTTAATCGAATAATAAACTTTTCGTTTATTGTTACGTAATTGTCAAAAAAAAAAAAATCTAGATACGTTTGTGTGTTTAAAATTAAATTTGATAAGAAGAAGAAAAATTGTCGATGGTTTTTTTTTTTTTTTAAAAGAAACTAGTGTATAATTATTTCGATGGATATACTTAATTCAAATAAAGAAAAAAAGGGCGTTAATTGAAACGTGTCTCAAGCGGTTTTCCCAGCTGCAATGGGGTTTGACCATTGACATAATAAATGACTAGAAGTTTTGTTCTCGTCAAATATTAAATGATATGATATAGAAACGGAACGATCTATGGGAGTATGTACATATTTCAACTCTCGAATTCCTTCGATCAAACTTATTTCGAAATATAATACGGGGTGTCGAAAAAAGTAAATCACTTTACCGATTTCAACAAAACAAAAAAGAAAAGAAAAACAATTTATTAATATAATTATATTCAATACACAATTTATTATTAAAAATAGTTTCTGGTTTTTTTATTCTCTTTCTCTATTTAAAAAAAAAGAAAAAACAATTTATTAATATAATTATTCAATAGACAATTTATTATTAAAAATAGTTTGGTTTTTTTATTCTCTCTCTCTCTATTTAAAAAAAAAACAAAAAAAACAAAATGAAATGTTGTTTTTTCTTTTTTACATTCACAAAACAGATTGATGATATGTTTTTTTTTTTTCTTCTCTTTATGATATAATTCAGTTAAAAAATAAAAGAAAGGGTTGGTTCTATTAGTTGACGAATGACAGGACGAGGAGAGGATGAGATTGGTGGTACCAAGAACGAAACTTCTTTGGCTTATTGCCAAAGATGAAAATGGAAAGCATATCTCAGGTTTTCTATGTTGGAACCTCCGGATGAGGTCGACGAACTTTCCTCTCTCTCTCTGCAAGCTGATCTCCCTCGTTTCGTACTTCGTACGTCTTTCTCTTTCTACCTTTTCAATGTATGGTGGGTTGCCCATGGGTTCGGCCCTCTCTCCCCTTTAACTCTTCCTAATTTTACTAGCCTAAGTTGTATTTAGATTCGTCGCTGGGTGCCTAAGAAGATTTCGCCAATTCGATTGACGTACAAATTTTCTTAGTTTAAATTTAACATTTTCCAATTTTTTAGATCTCAAGAAAAAATTTTAATATTATTTTTAACATTTATCATTATTATTATTTTTATTTTAATAATTTTTAACGATGAGAGAAATTATATAAACGATTTATATAATATGTAAACGTAATTCACATGTAATATGTTTTTTTGTTTGCAAAAATTAATGAAATTTTTATTTCGTCAACGCGTAGTATTATTTTCGATTTATGAAATATATTTTATTTATATTAAGAATATTCCCCCTATTCACCCCCCATACCCAATCTCAATAATTATAAACGATACTCCGAAATATTTTTATTAATTTTAGTTTTATTTTTTTTTAAATTAAATTGTACGTATGTAAAATAATTAGTTACTTGAGAAAAGTGTTCTAAGTGTTGGTCAAGTTAACCAATAAGAAGAATAAAAAAAAAATAGAAATAAAAAGTTATCTTCGTTGGACTAACAAACCGGTCCGGGACTTTAACGATAAGACAAACTTCTAATTAATGGGATTCAAGTTATTACATAACAGTGAGGGTCGTTGTTTCCTTTGGTAATACGAATATAATACAATCGTTTATTCGTTAAAACGTAAATGAATATCTCGTGAAATTTATTATTATTATTATTTAAACGGGAGGAAGTTTGTGCGTGAAGATTTTTATTAAGATTAAAGATCGTATATATAAGATTTGATTTGATCTCATTTTATATATACATATATATATATATATTTCGTTACAATTTATGTACATAGATAATGAAGAAAATTTTGAACGATAAGTATAACACGAACATTAACGGATAATTATATTGCATAGAGATTTGTAAGATTTATAGATATACTGATAAGTGTTTCATGAATATTTCTGCTAAATTTCATATAGAATATATTCTTATATTGTAAATAAATATTATAATAATAATGAAAAAAGTTTCTCTCAATAAAATATTATTACGAATGAAATAAATCCAATTTATGGAAAAATATGACATTTATTATCTTCATTTTAACATTACAACAAAAAAGAAAAAAAAGAAGAAAAATGCCGACAGTAATTAAAAATAAATATTTTCGAAATTACATTTATCAGTGTTCTACATTTTTTTGTTAATTAATTGTTCCATATTCTTTAAAATATATTTAAGTATAGGATTAAAAAGAAAATTCACGTAACACCCGGTAGAGAATAAATCGTGCAGATATAATAATTACCTATTCGTGTTTTAAAAATCATTTGTTAATTATACAGACACACGATGTAGATATATAAACGATTAGTATCTATCTTGTAGAAAATCAACGAGGCTTGAAAAAGAAAAAAGATAAAATAAATAGAAAAAAAAAAAAAAAGAAAAAGTATGCGACGAGAATAAATTAACAAC